TCCACATGTTCAAGAGAAGGCCCCCCGGTTTGAGTGACCGTGGGTCACTGGTCCCCATGTGGTTGAAATATCACATCTTTTTGGCATCCAAGCAATGATCATGTGTTTCGGACCTTTTGATAGACCCCCATGTAGCCTCCCAGCCACTAGCACATGGAACCGTTCGACGTTTCCGGGAATCGGTCTTTGTTTGGAGCATATTCCATGTAAAGGGACCGGGTCCCGAACGTCAGGTTCCATGGGAGGGTATAGATAAATACATCAAGTTGATAGTTGATAGAAACAAAATGCATGGATGCACAAGATACGTATCATACACAAGATACATAAGATACACAAGAAGCATAGGATACACAAGACACACATATATATATATATACATGTACCGACAAAATGATAAGCATAAGATAGATCATGAATAAGTCAGTATAGACACGGCTCAATAGATAAATATATTGAAGGATAAGGAAACACGATTGATCAATGCATATATTTGGCGATAGGAGCCATTGTCAGCAGAATCCCTTTTGCTGTTGCAAAAATCCATGGGACACCCACAAACTGAGCCGCGCCAAGATGCCGTGGGTTGCTTTTGAACTAGTTGCTGTTGGCATGGAAGTGACGGTTTCCGGAGATGTGGCTGTGGTTGTCAAAACCGTTTTGGGATCCCATTTTGTTTTTGGGATAGGTGAACTCACCACCCATTTTGGAACCTATTTTAGTGGGGATTGGTTGATGTTCACTGGGGGCTAACCGGGGTTTTGACCCATGGCCATATGGGGATGCAGTGCTTTGGTGGGCTTTTTTGAAGATAGCTAGGATAGCCTCAGCCCGGGTAGTAGGCCTGAAGTTGGGGGCTGGAGCCTTGCTATCAGAGATCTCGCCGAGCGATGAGAGTGTGCGGAGCAGGGCTGGAAGGAGCCTACCGGCGACACACACACACACACCATGCAACCAACACAGGATATTTTTTGGTTGTATGCAGGTTCCAAGGTGAAAATAATCTGATTCGGGTTGGCATGGATGGTCATGAAACCTTTAGAGGTTTCAGACAACTCCACCACGTGGCAGGCCGGTGCCGACGTGAACTGGACCAACTTCCGCGGTGCCGCTCGGTTGCCATTCGTGGATCTCAGACACAAGGGGGAGCTCAATGGGTCGGTCATTTTTTTTTGAGGCTACCCCTTTTTGGTGGGTTTTAACGGGACACCAGACAACCAGCATTTTGGGGGGTGCAATTATCAAAAAGCCACATCCAAATGGTTAGCAACGTTGGTTGCAAGGGTTGACAGCAGAGTCACCACAAACTCTACTAACCACTTGACTAGTTCTCTGGCCTTCTAAGTTGCACTGAACCTCTGAACAAGGGTTGACAGCACCAGCAAGTCTCTCCTGGCTACCCATTTTCATCTCAACCACTTCAAATGAGGGTCGGCTCAGCAGTGCACCGCACATTAGACATGCTGTCATCCTTTCACTGACTTCCTGAGTTGATGGACTTTATACTCTTGATAAGAGCATTTTAGCGGTATACAAAAAGTGCCAGGCCTTTCTCCCCGAACCACGAAGTGAAGTCGAAGCGGCATCGAGAGCACTGGGAGGCTCTTAGAATCCAAGAAGCTCAGCTCCTCACCGAGATTCGAACGCTGGAAGCACGTCCAGGCCAAACCACAAGCGTCAATGGCATTTGCTTGAGGAAAGTCCGCTGAATTCGGCGGCTGCAGCGGGATTGGTGGAGGCTGGGTGAAGCTTAGTGGAGTTGAGTGCAGCTGAGTGCGGGCACCCTATTTGATGTCCTCCTGGCACCTGTGGCGTCTGCCCAAGCAACAGCCCCATGCCAAGTGGATGATTCAGAGATCCTTTGGCTGTTTCTCTGAGCTGTGAGGCAGTCTCATATGTGATCCAGCTTTTGAGACGGAGTTGCCATGGGGTCCAAGAACCCCATGACCTGTCAGGGTCAAAGAAAACCCCCTGACCTGTGGTCAGAGACAGGCAACCTCTTAACCTGGTCTTAGACCAATGTAAGGAAACCCTGGCAACATTTCAAATGCGAGTCTTACCGTGGAAATGGTCCAGGCCAGCGCTTTGGCAGGTGGTTCAGCTCCTCCTTGCGTCCGGGGCAGACTTGGAAAGTGCGAGCAATGACGGCGCTGGGCCCCTGCACGTGGCATCGTCGCGCCCTGGCGTTCCTTTCAGAGACTCAGAGACAGGGCTGTTCCCTTTCGGTTTCTTCAAGAAACTGACACCAGTCTGGACGTCGTTTTTTTTTTTTTTTTTTGTAATAATAATCAGTCTCCTTTGTTTCAACCACGAATTCAGGTTCATCCCAAGCCCTTCAGGAACAACCCAGCCATTTCCGGAGAGTTTCCGAGTTGATTGGACAAGCACAGGTGGATTTTTCAATCAGGATAAGATTGACACGTCCACCAACGAAGTATCCTTCCATAAGCAGGCATACTAATCATCGCATCGATTGGGCGACCACAGAGTTGCCGCCCGCTGCAAAATCTAGGAATGGACACCTGGAGGTTGTGCGAGTATTGGTCGGGGCGGGTGCGGACAAGGACAAGGCTCCGGAGCTGGGTCAGGAGGGGTCCAGTTGGCTGCATGTTCTGCTCAGCCAGCTCGTTCGGGTCGAGATGGGCGCGTCTCTTTTTGAGGGTACCCTTTTGGGTTTTGATTGAAGGGAAGCCAAAGGAAACGACTCACTTTGGGGGTACTCCCCCTATTTTGAGACAAACCAGATGTTGTTTCACATTAGGAAGAGTATATTTCTTCTCCATCTCACTCTTGGGCCACTTGGGCACAACATGTATGCATGCAATGACATCGCTTGTTTTGCCTAGTCAGCGAAGATGGGCGTTTTCTTGCCACTCCATCCCAGTCTACCTAGAGAAAGATATGTTTCGGCTACAGACGCGAGACATTTACACACTATGCTCGCATTTGGTGTATTCGGACTAAGCATGTTGTTTTGTCTGGGGCAAACACCGCTGTGCATCATTCTTGCAATCATTCTCTGTTCAGCTATGACATATTTGCTCACCTCCTTAGTAGCTTTCAGGAAGTGCTGAAATCCACCGTTCCTTTGCTGTACACTTCTTGTAGCAGCAACACAGATTTGCCGGCCGATGCGGGAATCCGAGCAAACCGCCGCGTGTTTTGGCCGATTCGCAGGCCGACTGCTTCGGGGCGGCGCCCTTGCACGTGGCTGCAGAACAGGGCCAGCTTGCGGTGGTGCAGTACCTCCTCGAGGCGAGGGACTTTTTTCGAAACCCGGCAGGTGCCCGTACTGATGGACGAAATCCTGCACTTTGAAACCATGGGAAACCATTGTTGGTTGGGCTTCGTAGGTGGTGCACGATTTCGTCCATCCACAGTATGGACGTTTCTACCCCGTTGGGATGGCGTTGGAAGGAAACCAAAAGGACCCAACCAGGGGTGTGTAACATTGATCAACACGCATGTAGGTCTTGAGGGAAACATACATTCCATGAGCGACATGAAGCCTCCTGGTCTTATGTTTTTGCTATTTTCGGACGTGCCTTGCTTGCAGGCTTACCGTGTCCAAGTTCAGAAGAATGTCCAACCAAACCCACGACTGCCTGCACGCATATCAAGCAACGTGAGCACTGACAAAGGATCGATTGTAGACAACGTGCACATGAGCCAGAAGCACAGACGCGCAATTCCAACCGCCCAATGTTCATTCTCGCACTCCATATCAAGCGCACCTCTTCTGCTTCTATACTATTAGTGTTTCGGGCCATCTCTCGAGCGCGCGCGCGCTCGTTCTTTGCACTCTCTCTCTCTCTCTCTCTGTCTCAGTGTCTCTGTTGCACACACATTGCACAATGTGGAACTTCTCAGGTGTCATTGACATCCAGGACCGCTTAAGCTGAAGGCACTCTTCAGATCAGATTCGGCGCAGCACACGAGCAACACCCAAAGCAGACACCCAGTAGAGTGTCGCAGACACATCACAACGACACATGCAGGCCTTCCAATGGAACGAAGCAGCAACACATGACTCTAAATGAGAATCACTAGGGCAAGTCCAAGCGAAGCCAAAGGCTTCGAGTGCGCAGGTAGGTGCTGACAAAGACAAGATGGACGGCCTGGGTTTGGTCCCCCAGCGCTCAGCAGCTCTGAATCTTGGCAGCCGACATGTGTGTGTGTATGCTTTCTTTGAGGGTGCCCTTTTTAGGTAGGTTTTAGGGAAAGGTGAAGGACCAACCACCTTCTTTTGGGCCCCTATTTTGACCACACGCCCGCATGCACGCCTTTGGTGAGAATTCGTTGGCTTGGACGTGCTTTAGGGGCGGTTGAGATTTCACGTTTGCATGGGTGGCGACCAATTTGGGGTTGAGTCACTGGGGGGTGCGTTTCTTTTCGCAGGAACGAGCAAGAGGAAACCGTGCTGTACTTCATGGAGTGTGAGAACCAGGGTGTCTAGGTACAGCTTGCAGTAGACATTTGCTCTGACATAGATGTGGGTCTCACGCATACACAGAGCGCCCGTTTTCTGGCCTTGCACTGTTCAGTGCAAGACATTGGTCACCATTTGTCTTTTGAATGGCCACCCGATGTCGATCCTTGAAGGCGCTCCGGGAGCCTTTGTCCAGTGAAAGAGCGCCGCGGTTCAACACGACCGGCGGCTGTACATAGCAACGGGTCTGCACAGGAAGCTGCCTGGTGAGACCATTGTGGGACATGAGAACATCGCAACACATGTCTTCACTCGCAAGTGAACTTTGAAGTGCTTCCTTGCTGCAAATGCCGAGCTGTGGGCTCAATGGCTTTCCCGCGCAGTCTTCACCCGCGGACCCTTGCCGTGGCTTTTCTTGGAGAAGCGTAATCCAGCTGCATGTCACAGACACCAGCCTGCGAGTCAGGAAACATACTGGGCACCGTCATGCACTTTTGATGCAGTCCCCAGACTGCGCCTTTCTACGTGCTGCGATGAGGTTTCAACCCGCAGCTCATTTTGTGACGCGCAGGTGGTAATGTCACCTGCGAGCACGAGCAGCATGACGATGAGAAGGGGAAGCCTCGCCACTTCCTGGTGCTCCGTGCCGCACCATGCAGAAGCGCAGTGGTTGGTCGCAATCGAACCAGCCGTCATGCATAAGGTTAACCCCATACGAATCAACCCCTGTTTATGCATAGGGGTGCCCCTGGGTTTAGTGGGGGAATCAGCGCTTCTAGAGGGGAACACCCTGTATTTGATAAACTGGGGTTGATGAATGTGGCATCAACAGTATGCACTGGCGCTCCCTCAGGCCAACTAGAGCCAGATCGCAGTTTTTGTGTTGGGAATATCGACATGCGGTGATGCTCTGTCATGTGTAAATCTCATGGCCCAGACTAGCAGCCTATGCTCCACACACTGGAGGGAGGCCATACATTGTACTCAGCGCAAACTCAAGATTCACCACATGAGCACGGCTTAGAGTTCTCCCCGGCAGTCCAGGCAAAGTGCAGGCGGATCGTTTTCTTGGACATGCAAGCGCAGTGGTGTGAACCCTTCACCGGCTGCGGCGTCACAGCAATGGTTCCTTGAGTGCTTGAACCAACGCACACTAGTCGCCCTTGTAAAAAAGCCGTTTGTAACACAGGATAATGTTCAAAAAACGGCTCTGCGTGGATTTTAGGTTAGGTCTAGACCTAGTGTTGGTTGCAGCTGGCTTAGAGTTGGTTTCAGGGTAGGTTTAGGGTGAATCTGGGCCGGAAGTACCGCAAGCCCCTCCACCCCTCCACCCCTCCACCCCTCCACCCCTCCACCCCTCCACCCCTCCACCCCTCCACCCCTCCACCCCTCCACCCCTCCACCCCTCCACCCCTCCACCCCTCCACCCCTCCACCCTTCCACCCCCCTCATTCCCTCCACCTTCGTCCACCCCTCCACCTTCACCTTCGCCTCGAGCCTCCACCCCATCCACCCCAACGCTCCACCTTTGCAGGAATGAAAATCCTGGGGGGCTTCCTGGGATTCTATGGTCTCGACCATGGTTTTGGGGGCCCCGCCGCGGCGCCAACGGCAAGCGCCTCCGAGGCGCCACGGAGGCGGTGCCCAAAGGCGCGGAGCTGCGGCTGGGCACCGGGCGCGGGCCGGGCTCCGCGGCGGAGTGGCTGGAGGGGGAGGCGGGGGATTTTTGCGCATGCTGTTTCTGAATATATAGTTTGTATGTTTCTGGGGGTCATTGCCAAAGGCAGAAAATGGTTGGTTGTTTCCCTTAAACCCACTAAAACGGGGATGACTTTGATCATGGTAAAATAACGAGCGCTTGGTTGAATCTAGTGGTAAGCGTGTGTGTTCTGTGCTGGAACTGCCTGGGAACCCAACATCTTGGTGGGGAGCATCATGTAGAGACGCATGGCCCAAGCTTGTAGGTTCAGGCACCGCCGGCCTCTGGCGAGCCTGCAGCTTGCTTGCAGCTGGTGAATTTCGGCCCTGGCCACGAATTTTAACAGGTTCCCCCCAAAGAAAAGAAGACGTTAGTGGATATTGATTTACACGAAAGCTTCGCTCGTCTTACTCGGTAGAAAGCAACAGTGACAGGCTCCTTTGCCCCGTCTGCTTGCTGTGGCACTTGCCGGTCGGCCAGGTCAGAAGACCCAAAAACGAGCGAGCAGAGAAGAAGACCCCTTTTAGGGCCTAGCGGAGGGTTGCGACATCCAGAAATTGCACCGTATCTCTGATTGATGCGATTTCTCTGTAAAATGCCAACAAACAGGTTTCTTAGGTGGTGTAGAACTTTGTCCGTCCACAGTATGACCACCAATTGAAAGGCAAAGGCATGGACACAGGTGTCCTTTGGGGGAAATAGATGGCGGTAAATGGGTGGAACCCATCCATTTCTGACCAAACCAAAAAGGACACCTAGGTTTGTAGGTCTCTGGGTAACCCGATGGTCTGTGGGTCAAACAGACCAACATTTGTGTCCAATCTATGGTCTATTGAGATGGGGGACTCCAAAAAGATCGGTGGGTGCTTTGAAATGAGCACCAAAAGGACAAAAGGAAAAACAATTTTTGGTTGCCCCCTTGTTCGACACCCCACACGAAGTCAGCTTCTCTTGGTGGGGAGGTGTGAGAACAGAACCAGGGCTTTATATCCCCAAACCAACCTGACGGATGTGGCGAAGATGCTGGGGAGAACAAGAGGCCCTTTTGGAAAACCAATTAGTGTAACCCTGGTGGTTGAAGCAAAATGAATCAATGGCTTCTCTGTGGTCTGCTTGTCAAGAGAAATCAAACAGAGATCTGGACATCGGCCCCCGTTCCGAGGAAGGAAACCCCGCTCCGCAACCGAAACCAAAGGAAGCTGAATGGGATGTGAAACGAAAAGGAAATCGCCGCTCCCAGACCAAAAACATCGGAGACGGAATCCTTTAGGGCTTCTTGCATGTCCCCCGAAAAGAATCACCGCTTGATTGCGTGATGCTTCAATGAAAGGGAAAGAGAAGGACCCCTGCTTCATGGTTGATGCGCATTTGCCCTTGAGAAAAGAGAAGAAACCCCGAAAGAACTAGACGGGCGAAATCGACAAGTGGGAGTGACACAACAGCAAAGGGCTCGAAAGAAGGGCTTGCGGGAGATTCTACCCGACCCCCGCACCCACCCCCACCCACCCCATGCACCCAGGACTTCGTGCAGCAGCTGCCGTTGCCCGCCGCTTTGGATCTGCGCAGCTCGGCCGTGCAGGGCCTGGGGGTCTTCGCCGCGCGGCGGCTGCGGGCCGGGGAGGTGGTGGAGCTGGCGCCCTCGGTGCTGCTGGAAGACACCGAGACGCCTGGAGTTGCTTAAGATGGACGCAAGCCAGAAAAATTGGTTTAGGTTGGTTTTATTCCGTGAACCAGGGCCATCAATTTTCCCAAAAAGGACAGAAACCAGCCAGTTGGGGGTTCTACCTGTGAATCCCCGACTTTCATGGCTCAAGAAAAAGGAACCGTGCGGTTTAGCACTTGTAGGTTATGAGCCCAACGCTGCTCGGGTAGGCTCCCGCAATGGATGCTGGCATGAGGAGAAGGAGGGCCAGGTCGATGGACGCGGGGGACGAGGGCATCATGGTCGCCGAGCCCAACGGAGAGGTCATCCCCCAGGAGGAGGTGATGGAGGGCGAGGCGGAGAGGGGTGGTCATGGGGGTGCGGTGCCGGTGAACCCGTTTTGGAGCGAGAAGGCAAGGGCGGAGGCGGAGCTGCAGGCACTTCGGCCCAAGGACCTGCCGAGGGTTCCGGAGGGGGAGATGGCAGGAACACACCCGGGAGAACCACATGGACATGATCGCGATCAAGAAGGGTGGCACAAAGCAGAAACAATGAGTAGCAGCAGGTCGGAGTTCTGGAGCGAAGTGAAACGGAGCTTGCAGGAGGACCTGGAAAGGGAGAACTGGCCGAAAGGTGAAACAGAGAAGGGAAGAGGAAGCGGTAGCGATGGCCATCGTGGACATCCTGGAGGGTGGCCTCCTGAAGCTCGACATGGGGATCATCCAGGAGGGCATCGTGGGTGGGGTCGAGAACATGGTGAAGGACATCCTCGAGAGCATCCGGAACGAGGGCATGCTGAACGCCGTGAACGAGGTGAGGGTCGTCATTGGGGAGAATATGAAGGCAGTCCTCGGGGAGATTATGAAAGGAGGCCCACAGAACATGCTGAAGGGGGTCTTGCGGGTGTTCGCGGAGGTAGACCAGCGAGCGTGGGACCACATCCGGGAGAACGAGAAAGTGGACCCTACGGTCGAGAAGGTAATGGCGGAGGGCATCGCGGAAGACATCCCATCTATGGAAGAGGGCATGCAACTAGGGGGAGCACGGGGCACTCTCGAGAAAGGAAAGAAGAAGGTCAAACTGAGGCGGGTTGTGATCATCCTGGCGATTCAGTTCCTGCTGGAGGCAAAGGTCCGGAACCCCGAGAAGGTAAAGGACATGGGGCAAAAGACGGAGGAGGACTGCAGCCGAGGGAATTGGAGGTGACGAGGGATGAGGCAAGGGCGGCAACGAGAGCTGGCTTCAGGCCAATGAGCTCCACATGGTTTGGAACCCGGCAACGAAGACATGGATTCCAGAAGGAAACCTACCAGCTGGCCTGAAATTTGATGATGAGGAACTCGTGCCGGACAATGACGACGGCATGATTGATATTCAAGCGGCCATGGAGAAGCAACTCATGCTGGCGTGCCGGATGATTCGAGGCATGGAGCAAGAACGGGATCATCTTAAGGGGAAGATGGCGGAGCAGGGCAGGTTGCTGGAGAGGAGGAACAGCACGATCAATCAGCTGTTGGAGCAGGTCCGGGAAACTCAGGGTCAACTGAGGGAAGCCCAGGATCAGTTGGCGGACTGGAGATCATGGTGGGATCGCTGGGAGTGGGATGGAACCCGGTGGAGGAGGTATGAGGAGGAAGAGGAGGAGATCTTCCAGACACCTGCAGAACCGGGTGGAGGATACGGAGAAGGGGAACGGCGAGATCGGACCAGGTCCCCACATCCACCTCCGCATCCTCCGAGGCCAAGGACGCCAGAACAGCGAAGAACCCCAGGAGGGACGGGAGTCCCGAGAGGAACGCCGCCCCGCTCTGAGAGGGGCAAGGGTGGTTTCCGTCTTGAAGGAGGAGGAGGTAACTCTAGAAGGGAGGAGCTGAGAGAAGGAGAGCTATACACCTGGACCAAGGACTATGAGTCGGGTGGCCTGAAGATGGTGCCGGCGCCGATGACCAGAAATGAGTGGGCGGTGACGTGGGAACGGGCCGATGCAATAGTGAGTGAAGCTCCGGCACCGCCGCCGGGATTGGAGGCCAGGGCCGACTTGGACCCGGAGGTGGTGGTGAGCGAGAAGACTGGGGACGTTTAGGGAATCATGGACGTCTGGCCGGAGGATGTGAAGGCAATGTTAGCAGCGGGACAGTTTCGGGAAGAGGCGATCAGGGCTGTGCAGTTGCCAAAGCTGCCGGAATTGGGGGCAAAGGAAGCCGGGCCGCTGGCAGCGGGAGACTGGTTGGCGGAAATCAAGCCGATCATGATGGACCTCAGTACCAGCGCAGCGGTCTGGTGGGAACACATCATGAACCATGCGGAGAGGGCCTATCAGAAATGGCTGGATATGCGGCCGGTGGATCGGCTGAACGTGGCGCCGGAGGAAGCCGGATGGCTGGCGAAGTACCGTTTTCTTGGGTGGAGCAACGTGGAGCTGGGCTTCTGCTCCGGGCGTTGCCCCAGGGGCTGAGACAGGAGGTGGTGTCAAGAAGGACGTTGTCAGCGGCAGGAATGGTCTTCAAGGTGCTCACAATGTACCAGCCAGGGGGGCCGGCAGAAAGGCAGAGCCTCCTCAACTGCTTGGTGGAGCCAAAGGTGAATGGAAACACGGTGTCGGCGGAGGTCTTGGCGGCAGTGCGGCAATGGCGGAGGTGGTGCATTCGTACCATGGAGCTGAAGCTGGCGATGCCGGATCCCTCGCTGCTGCTGAGAGCGTTGGATAGCATGACCAACGGGATCGCAAAGGAAGGAAGCCAGGTCCACTTCAGGCTAAGTCTCTTGAGAAACAGCCTGGGGGTGGACGTCACACCAACGCAAGACGGCATCATCCAGCTGGCGGAGTTCATCCAAGCGGAGGTGGCAGTGATGGTGGCCTCAAAGGCGGACGAGAAGGTGGTGAAGGTCAAAAGCATGAAGCCGACAGAGCAGTCTGGGCAGCGTAGGGAGGGAGAGATGAAGCTCTGCGTGTACTTTGCAGGAGAACGAGGATGCCGAATGGGCCGGAACTGCAAGTATGGCCATGACTGGTCGGTGGTGGAGAAGAAAGCAGATCGGTGCTGGATCTGTGGGTCGCTACAGCACCGAAAGGGGGAATGCCCGGTGAAGCATGAGGCGGCCGGCAGGACTGGGGCGCAGGGCAAGTCGCAGCAAGCAGAACAAGTCGCAGCAGCCAGTCAAACCGAAGGTTGCAGCGGAGAAGGGGGTGGCAGAGGACTCTAAGGAGGCGTCTGGGTCTGGGGGAGCTGGACGGCAAGGTCAAAACGTCCAGGAGCTGCTGACGGAAGCGACGCTGAGCATAGTCAAGGTCATCAGAGTTCGGTCTGTGAAAGTGGAAGAGGAGTTCTATGGTCTGCTGGATGGAGGAGCCACCCATGCTCTTCGTCAAGTTAGAGAAGGGGAACTCAAAGGAAAAAGACGTGAAGGAGGTAACAGTGGAGCTGGCGGCGGGCACAGCACGGCTTTGGCAACACAAGAACACAAGGACGCTGCTGTCAGCGGAGAAGGTGGAGCCAATCGTGCCACTGGCGGGACTGGTGGAGATGGGCTATGGCATATCCTGGAACAATAAGGGATGTGTGGTGAAGCACCCGGCAAAGGGGGACATCAAGGTGGAGATGAAGAATGGGTGTCCAATGGTGCCGGGGAAGGAGGCGCTTCGACTCATCGGCAGTTCCACTTGAATAGAGCGAAGATTTGCAGGTTGTCCTCGGCAGAATCCACGATGATGGAAAGGTGGAGGGCGCGATGGCCGGAAGTACCTGTGGCGGTGTGGGAAATCATGGGAAGTGGTTTGGAGATGGTAGACATGAAGGGCACCTTCAAGCAGGACTTCCACAAGGTTCTCTCGTGGAACCGCAGGGCGAGGAGAAGGGTGGAACAGGCTCGTAGCGTGGTTCTGCACTTGTTCTCAGGAAAGGACCAGAGTTTTTGGCAGGATGCTGGTGAAGTGGTGCTTTGTCTGGATCTGCAGAAGGGCCCCAGCTCTGCATGGAGGGCAAGGTGACGGGAGTGGTCGGAGGACCGCCGTGCCGGTCGGTGTCGGTGTGCCGATATCAGCGTCCGGGGCCCGAACCGCTTCGGAGCCGTGGCGGAGGAGAGCGCTTCAGATGAAGACCCACCAGGATTCAGCGCTGCGGTTGTTGCCCATGGTGCTGTTTGAGGTGACAAGGAGTGCGGGAGTGTAAGATGGACTGGCCCGGTCTTCGCGCAGGAGAACCCCCGAGATCCTGAGGAGTGGCTAGGTGCGGGGGAGGGCGAAGGGAAGCTGAACACGCCGCCTGGGGGGCTATGCTTCGTTTTGGGCGTGGCCGGAGACGCAGGAGTTCGTGAAGAAAAACGGCATGGGCATGGCAAAGTTTGATCAAGGTCCTCTGGGGCATGAAAGGCGAAAACCCACTACGGTCATGACCAATTTGACGGAGGTTCTGGCACTTCATGGAAGATGTGGTCCAGGTGATGTGGTGGGAAGGAGCGGGAGCACTGAGGGACGGATCAAGGAATCGGCATCATGGGCGGCGTGGGCACCGGAGCTCAAGCAAGCAGTGAAGATGGGACTTCAGCGGGTGAACCACGAGGTGATGGTGGAGATGAGGATCAAAGCGGCGAGGCTCCCGGCAAAGGAGGAACAATGGAGAAGGCATGTGGAGAATGAGCACATACCACATCGGCGAGACTGTCGGGTATGTATGGAGGCTGCGGGACAAGCAGGGGGTCATAGAAGGATCCGGGCTCCCAATTCTTTCGTGATGTCGGTTGACATTCTGGGACCAACCAAAAGGAGGGCGTGGACCAGGATGGGGCCAAGGCGAGATATGCGGTGGTGATGGTCCTTGACGGTTCCAGTGAGGAAGTCCACAGGGGAGCCACTGGTTGACGACATGGAAGTGGAGGATCAGGGAGAAGCTCTATGCGGCAGAGGGGATGAGGATCGTGCTGATCCAGGACTTGCTGAAGGGGGTGAACTACCGGAGACGGAGGCAGACCTGGATTGGGAAGAGGAGAGCCGGGATCCAGCCCCGGGGGAGGAGGGCCGGGTGGAAGTAGAGAAAGCAGAA